TTCTGTATTTTGTTCTTGTGTTCTTCGGTTTCCAAAAAGAGGTTCTTAAACACAGATAATTCATTTAAATGAAAGAAATACATGAAAGTGTTGTGTTTCATGTTTCCCTCTTTTGTTTAGCCTTTCACCTTTGTCTGTTAAACTGCGTGGGAAATTTTTCATCCAATAGTGTGAGAGCCAGTCAGGATATCCAGGAATAGGGGAGCAGGAATTTCGAACTTCTAAAAGTATCTGGAATGGTTGGAGTGCAGGGAGCAGAGTGTTTGTTTCAGTTGTTCTTTGTGTGCTATCTCCTGGTCTCCTCCTCCATCTTGTCTTATGCTGCCCATGCCTGCCTGTTGAATTTGGAAGAGAAGAAGAGATGAAGTTGGGGAAAGAGAAATCTCTCCTGGGATGGGGTGGGGCTTTGATTGTATTCTTTATCTTTATTTCCTTGCTAACTTTTCCTGATTTATAAAAGATGGGTTGTCCATATGTGAAATTCTGTGTGTATAGAGTGTTAAAGTAATTAAGAGGGTATAAAAGAAATAGCCTTGAAAATGAATGTGTTTTAAAATTGAGGCTTGACTAATGTTTACTATAGTAATTGCAAAACAGTTAGCTGGCTCTCTTGCCAAGCAAGGTTACTGTTGTGTTTCCCTGAAAATAAGATAGGGTCTTATATTAATTTTTGCTCCAAAATACAAATTAGGGCTTATTTTCAGGGGATGCTTTATTTTTTTCAATCACAACAATCTACGTATATTTACATACAGTCATATCATCTTCTGGTTGCTGCACAATGGTGGAGAGTGGGGTTTCACTTAACTGAGGCTTATTTTTGGGGTAGGGCTTATATTATGAGCATCCTGAAAAATCATGCTAGGTCTTCTTTTCAGTTAGGTCCTATTTTCGGGGAAACAGTATACAATAACAGTCTATTATTGAGCTATTTATGTTGCAGTGGGTAAATATGAAGAACCTATATCTTGGACCCTTTGTAGTTCCAGTTCCTTGGAGGTGCAATATTTGACGTTGCAGGACCTGGTCAACATAGTATCCTGGCATTCTAGGGTCCAGGTGCAGCAAACGTTCATTCCTGTAAGCTCTGCAAAATTTTAGTCATCATAGTGGCAGCTTGCCAGATTTTAAGTTACGAACCTTTGGAGTTACAGTAGATTTGGGAACAATTAAGATTTCTACGAATTGAAAAAGTTTTTGAGTCTCTAGATCCCTGGATCTCCAGGCCCCGGAAAAGAGACTGTACCAGAGGGAGGTATGAACATCTGGAAAAAAATGTATAAATATAGGGAGATAAGGTACATACAGAGGAATGTAACGTTCAAATTGTCAACACAGCTTCATGCTGTGCCACACACAACAGCAGTCTTCATGGATTTTCTTCTACAGACTGGCACAAAGGCTTATGCAAACTGGCACAAGGTTGGTGTGACTGGGTGAGAAAATTATTTAGAATTATTTTGTGTGGTTTAATATGGTTAGAGGGTAAGAAAGTACAGTAATGTTCTTTGACATGTTTTGTTTCAAAGAACTTTAATTTTTACAAGGTTTATTCTCAGCTGTTTCAATGTGCCTTTTTAGGTTGTAAGCTCCTGCATTTTTACTGTATGTAACTAAAATAGTCTATTTGATATTTTTATTATCCTTTTTGTGCTATTGAATTTTGGATTGAATTCTGAATTCAGTACTTGCTTGTAACTGAAGTTTGGTTTTCATATATTTTTAAGTATTTGTGTCTACAGTTTTCCTCATAACTGTAAAAATGTTTTCAATACTTTTAAATTACTTTTTGAAGTATTTATGTGTTTATGGAACATAGAGGCAATATAAAGTTTGTGGAATTAGAAAAACTGGTGTTGCCTGGAATTATTGCAACAATGAAAAGATTTATACCTTCATACTCAGATAATTTTTAATGATTGGGAATTATTGTCTGGTTTTATTCTGGAATTAAGCCTTAATTGAAATAAATGCCAGCTGTGATAACACAGGATTCTGATTTTTTTTTCCTTAGAGGTATGTAAAGTTCTGTAGGACGTTTAGGGAGAAGTTCAGTCATCAGAATTCTAGACCTGACAGGGTTCTATTTTTGTTAGTTTCATGTTTTTTGTCTTGTATTTTTTGTTCCCTCGCTGAGGGGTGGTTGTTAGGTTGATTTTTTAAAATTTGGTTAATTTCTGTTAAGTGTATATTTTGGTGGGTTTTAAAAATTATTGTTCTTTCTCATATACAGTGGTGCCTTGCATAGCGACGATAATCGGTGCAGCAATAATCGCTTTGCAGCGATTTTGTCACTATGCGATAATAAAAAGCCCATAGGAATGCATTGAAACCCCTTCAATGCGTTCCTATGGGCTTCAGACTCACGTTTAAGCAAAAATCCTCCATACGGCGGCCATTTTCGCTGCCCGGTAAGCGAGGAATCCGTCCCAGAAAACAGCGGGTGGCCATTTTTTTTTTTTCTAGAGTAGTTTGTAAGAATTTTGGACTCATTCTCTGTTGCCTGCCTTGCTGTAACTTTTTTGTGTGCAGTTTTTAAGAGTTCTTGAGTGCTAGATAGAACATTAATGGAAAAAGACAAAATGAAAGAACTCCAAAAAACCAAACCCTTTATGTTAAATGAAAGGACTGGGGCATTTGAAGAAGTGAATTGGTGTCCCTAGGCTCACTTTGAAACATTTGTTAGTCTTAAAGGTGCCAAAATACTTCTCTTTTTTTTCTTTTGGCTGTGAAACAAATGAGTATAGCTGCCACTCTGAAAATTGCTATAAACTTTGCCTAGATAAAGGAGAGATATTCCTAGTCAAAGAAAAACACTAGAGTAGTAGTAGTTCAGGCTGTATGGGATGGGATAGTACCTTGGTTGAAGAATCAGGATTGCAACGTTGGGGTATTTCTGGACTTGGCTTTGCTTCTGGATGCTTAGTTGACAGCTGTGTCCAGGAGTGCCTTTTGGCTACCTTAGGCTGGTGTGTCAACTCTATCTTGGTGAAATTAGTTATGCACATTGTGACATGTTATATTCAGATTGGATTATTGGTACATACCAGAAATGTGCTACCTTTGAAGAGTGTTTGGAAACTACAGCTGATCCAGAACGTAGCAGTCAGAATGCTGATGGGAACCTGCGCATAGGATCATATTCCACAAATGCTCCAAGAGACGCATAGTTTTCCAGCTATAGAAATCAAAAATAATGTGCTTCTGTTTGTTATTTGACATATCATTATTTTTAACTATTTAGCCTTGTGAGCATCTGGTACTCTGACTTGCAGGACCCACACACACACACACAGTTGATTAGCTCATGCAATACTCTGTGTGTTACCAGTGATTTGTCTGGCAGTACTCTGCAGGGTACCAGATAAGCCTTGTACAGATCTAGTACATAGCTGTGCCATTCAGATTTTCTGTGCACCTGGTGTGAAGTCCTAGTTATGGTAGCAAAGCCTAGGTCTAGCCTCTAGGCTGAATGCCTGTGTGGCCTTGTGACAACAACTGTACTAGTCATCATGAGGTCTTGTGACAAGTGTACATGTCATGGAGTCCTATTTTTTGTTGCCATAAATTTAGAAATAACCATTATCTTTTTGATGTACAACATTTGCACAGTTACATCAATTTGCCATGGCTCCATTGTACAGAATCCTGGCAGTAATGGTGGTAAATTGTCTGGGAACTTCTTGTATCCTTCCCCAGAACTGTTAGCAGAGAACTCTTAAGCCTTCAGTCATTTACAAAGTCTGGGTTTCCACGAGATGGAGCTATGGCAAGTAAAGTGGTACCAGACTACTATACCTGTGTTTTGTGGATTCATTCTAACTTGACCGTGCTTACTTCTGAGTAAACACATACAGTATACGATTACATAGTAAGGGTTTTTCTGTCATCTTTTCATGTATTATTCTGCCATGATCACAAAATCTACAAATAAACATTTATCTATTTATCTATTTTCTCATATTGCTCCCTGGGCTCAGAAGCAAAACAAAGTCTTAGACTTAAGTATGCTAGTTCTTAATTGGACTAATTTGTTTGGTATATATAAGGAAAATATATACAGTGGTGCCCTGCTTAACAATTACCCTGCTTGACAACGAATCTGCTTCACGACGATGTTTTTGTGATTGCTATTGCGATCGCAAAACAATGTTTTAAGGGCAAAATCCGCTTTGCGACGATCGGTTCCCTGCTTCGGGAACCGATTCTTTGCATTACGACGATCAAAACAGCTGATCATCGGGGTTTCAAAATGGCCGCCGGCTGTTCAAAATGGCTCCACGCTGTGTTCAGGACGGATTTTTCACTGCATAGGCATCGGAAAATGGCTGCCCTATGGAGGATCTTCACTGGACGCTGAAATATTTTTCCCACTGGAACGCATTGAACCGGTTTTCAGTGCATTTCAATGGGCTTTTTTATTTCGCTTGACGAGGATTTTGCTCTACAGCGATTTTGCTGGAACGGATTATCCTCGTCAAGCGAGGCACCACTGTACAGTATTTGGTATATATAAGGAAAGTATATGTATTTCCTTCATATAAGGAAAGATATAACTACAATTAACTATACTTCTAGTTAGATTTTAATTTGTGGTGAATTTAATTTTTCCCCCTTATTGCTGCAAATATATATTGAAGTGGCTGGATTAATGTTGTTTTCTCTGTTGTTTTCTCCCTTAAATGGTTCAGGTAATTTTCATCAGGGAGGATTCCGAATAAGTACTTAGTTTTTTTCACTATGCACATGTGTAAAAAGCACAAAGCTATCACTTCTCTTTATTTTTCCAAAATAAACAGTGTTCTTTTAGATTTCTATAAACTTAAGTGGTAGAACAACTTTTTAAAACAGGAATAATTCTTCAAATGCATGAACCTTGTTAAGTCATAGAGTTGAGTACCATAGCAGTAATGACCTTTCTACATTAAAACTTCTTTTAGAGGAATGTAGTATTACATAAAGTACTTCACACTGAAATAAACATTTCTTATTTTTCATAGGCTGGCCTAATTGAAGCTAATGGAGAGTTAAAGGTTTTTATAGACCAAAATCTTAGTCCAGGGAAAGGTAAGCATATTAGTAGTTTTTGGCCTTTGTGTTTGATAAACTGGAGTTCTGTATCTTTACCAAGATTAGCTTTAGGTTTGAGGAGGCCTTGGGTTTGAAATATTGTTTAGTGCGGGGCATCAGCTCTGACTGCTGCCTTATGAGATTGTTATGCCAATTTCTCTAAGCAGTGCTAACTAGCAAGTTTTGTTTTTGTACAGTGTACTTAAAATGACATTAGGTTGCGAACACTAGAAAATTAAAAAGGATTTCTAGATTCTACTTCCTGATGTTTCTGAAAGTGATGGGTAAGGAAAATATTAAGGAGAGCCCAGCACAGGTATCAGGAATCGTGACAGCTGCTAAAACTTTCTGGCATCATCTCTCTCTTTCTCTCTCTCTCTAACAAAGATTTACGATTTAAAATGAAATGAAATATTTAAAATTAAACATAAGCACAATCATTTTTTCTTGAAAAATCCAAAACTCTGATAATGATATCTGTTGCAGAAATTTGTTTCAGCTGATAAAAAAATACTTTCTTGTTTGTGGAAAATCTCAGTAATCCTGAGCAATGGTTCTGGGAAAACCAGATTTCTCAGCATTTCTCCTTTTGCACTCCTAGCAAGCCAGCTGCCACAGTGAGCAGCAGGCAGTCTCTGCAGAAATATAGGAGTAGGTTTGAAAGCAGGTTTGTGGAAGAGCCAAGAAGAAAAGTAAACTCCACTCCATCACACTTAGTGCCATTATCTGTGCTGTGAGTGATTTTGATCTAGTTGATAATTTGGTTTAGAATAAAGTAAATCATTTTCTTAGCCTCAAGGAAAGCAGTTCATATTTAGATCCCAATTGCAAACCAAATAGTTAGAAGTCAGTATTTAATTTTATTTATTTATTTAGTTTGTATCCCTCTCCCATTAGTGTCACAGCACTATTCTGAGCAGGTAGGAGGCTTTATGTATCCCACCCTTCCTCAACCTGATGCCCTCCAAATGGTTGGACTACAAATTGTATAGGCAACAAGGGGTTACATGCAGGTGAATGCTTGGAAGCCTGTAGGCAAAGGAGATCTTTTTCCACACCAAGCATTGAACAGAAACAGGCCAGAAGAGAAGTGGAGAGTCAGAGCTCTCCACTGCTCCTCTTATCTGATTCAAGATTACTAAAATGTTTTGCAAGCTGGTAACCTCTGCTTAGGAGCCTCCTGGTGCAGTGGTTAAACTGCAGAACTGCAGTCAGGCCTCTAGTCACAACCGGAGTTCGATCCCAACAGGCTCAGGTAGTCAACTCCATCCTTCTGAGGTCAGCAAATTTGAGTACCCAGATCATTGTGTAGTCTGCATAATTAAATTGTAAGCCACCCAGATAATGCTTTCAGTACTACGGTATGCTTTGCTTTGCAGCATGCTTTGCTTTGTTTGAACGTTCATTTGCTTACGTGCAAACTTTAACAGGGAGATTGGAAAAGAGTAAGATTAGAGGAATGCATAGCATCTATATGAAATTCTGTGCTGAATTGAGTGAAGAATTCAGCTAATGAGAAAAACAAATGTGAAATTTCCAGGGAGCATTTGGCAAGTAGTATCTGAGACAGGAAGAGATGAATAATATTCATTGCTCCTATGTACTGTTTTTTTAAAAAATTGCAGACTATCCCATGACCAGCTGCACAAAGATCCTTGTATTTATATTTAAATTACCTGCCAATTTGTCTTTATGATCTTCCTCAGGAATGAGAGATTCCTGCATATATTTTTAACAATGTTTTAGTGCATTAGTGCCAATTTAAAAAAATGGAAACATAGGATATAAGTATAATAACAAAACACAGATTTATGTAAGAAATTATGCATCGTTAAAATTTAAATTGACAATTTGCATTTAGCTTCTTATTTATGAACAAGTTGATTTCATTGTAGTTCCACATGATTACTAGTCATGTTTAATCTTGTAGAGTCTGCTTGGCTTAGGAATTGAAATTTGTGAATGATTTAATCTTTATGATAGGAAAAGGGGCTTGTAGGAGCTATGAGAGAGATGGAAGCCTTGTACCACATGGTGGCACTAGTCATGCGGGAAATAGAACATTCAAAATGTTCTTGTACTGTATATGATACCTTTTAGAGACTAAGAAGCAAGCAGTCCAAGTACTGGCTAGGAAATGGATGTGGAAGTTTTTACCACTGTGGTAACAAAATTTAACTTGCTGTTAATCTTTTGAATGAAGGCAGGTGTTTGTTTTCTCATTTAAGCTAGTGTGTCAGAGAAATTAACCTGTGTTAGATATGGATGAAAGATAAACTTTGACTGCAACATCCAAGCCATCTCAGAAGTGACTAGGTACAAATCTTTATATACATTCACTTTGGTGTCCTCAACTTGTGCAATATGGCTTTTATAACACATTGATCTTGAATACCTTTCCCTCAATAAAAGGTTGACTGATGAAATGAAGTCACCCGTATGTACCTTTTACAGTAGAACTGGATTAAACGTTGAAAGATAATTTTTTTAAAATGCCTGATGTGATAATTATCATTTATTGACTTTTGGTTGTTTTGTTATTTTAGGTGTTGTTTCATTAGTAGCTGTTCATCCTTCAACAGTAAACACACTTGGAAAACAGCTCCTGCCGAAGACATTTGGACAGTCTAATGTCAACATTGCACAGCAAGTGGTAAGATATTAATGAGAAAATCCTGCAAATTGATTGTAATTCTATGTAATAATGTTTTCAGCATCAAGATAGCAAATAAAAAGTGTGCAGATGTGTAGAGTACAAAGAAATAACTCTGTTGTCAAGGTAATACAAGATGGAGATGCTGAAATAAAATGAAGGCTTAGATTGATTGTTTGTATGTATATTTACACAAAGCTCTTGGATTCACCTGACTGTAATACTTTGTAATGTACAGATTAATTTCCCCTACTTCTTTTAAGGTACTTGTAGTTCACACTGCCTGTTTTAAACTTGTCTCCAAAGTAACTGGTATAGTCTAGTGACTTAGAGTAAGGTTCTCCAACCTTTTTGGGACTGTGGATTAGCTGAGCCTCTGAGGAAGACGGGGCACACCCCCCCCGTGTTCACTTGGGCGCATGCATGAAGCGGTAAGGGAGTGTGTGCACCAGCGCTGTCATTAGATCTCCCCCACCCTTTTGCGCATGCAAAGGAGCGCCTGCCCGCCCACCCCTTCACTCAGGCGCATGCATGAAGGGGTGGGGGAGTGCCCACGCCAGCACTGGCATGCATGCGCAAAGCAGCTGTAGGGAGGTAAGTGCGTGCAGGGGGAGGTCAGTTTCTGCAGCCCAGTCCAGCTCAGGCCACGGACCGGCACCGGGCCGCTGACCGGGCGTTGACGACCTCTGACGTAGAGTACCTGGATATGGTGGGGCTGGGAATTTGAATCCTTAGCATGCTTCTTGTGAGAACAGCCAGCCAAGATCCTCTGGAGTTTTTGTAGGAGATAAATTCCCCACATAGAGGGAACTTATTTGTCCCCCACCAAAACTTTAACATTACCATTTTTTCCATGTATGCAATCCCCCCAATATATAAGATGACCACTAATTTTGTCCCTTGCCAGAGGCAGAGGAGCAGTCAATGGGCAGCCGTAAGGGGCGGCCCAGCATGGCTGCTCCTCTGCCTCCATCTCCTGTTGCTGCTGCCTCCACTGCCCGATCGTCTCCCCCAGTGCAACTTGCCGGGGCTCACCCCCAGCTCATGTCGCCACCTTGTCCCCTGTCCAAAGGGACCCTGTGAGTGGCTCTGGAGGAGGTGATGTGGCGGCAGCGAGAGGAGACCGAGTGCAGCTGCTCCTTTGTCTCCGTCTCCTGCTGCTGCTGCCTCCGCCGCTGGATCGCCTCCCTCAGTGCCACTCGCGAGCTCCCTTCAGGCAGGGAACAAGGCGGCGACATGAGCTGGAAGTGAGCCCCGGCAAGTCGCACTGGAGGAGGCAATCAGGCGGCAGAGGCAGCAGTCAGTGGGCAGCCGCCAGAGGCAGCTAAGCGCGCCTGCTCCTTTGCCTCCACCTCCTTCCATGTATAAAACAACCATCAATTTTTTCTCTAATGATTTTAGGGAAAAGTGTCCTTTCATACACGGAAAAATACGGTAACTTCCTGGGACTACTGATGGGATCTGCTTGGAAATCAGTAGATTAAAAGGGGGAGAGGGTAGGTAGATAAGATTATAGGGAAGGGAGCGAGCAAAGGCAAAAGAAAGGTTTTGATGCTGTGGAAAGTGGGTTTTTCAAAACTTCATAAAGCAGTTTCCTTTTCTCCAAGGCTCAAAACAGGCGTTGGGGGTAGTAAAATAATGGATTTTATATTATTTTTATTTTATTTTCAAACTGTGATGCTGAAAAGCAAAAGGAAAGGGTTGTCCTTAGCTTGACTCTGTTCAGAGGCCACTAGAATCCTTGATGGAATGTACATTTAACTTAAGTTCTATCCCCTACTGCTAATCCCTCAGCATGTTAGAATTTATGTAGGATGAGACAAAACTGCAGAACTCAGTGCAAGTTTTTCCTTTCCTTTGGGGTGTTTTTGGATTTCTTTGTTTTTTACATCTTCTTATGAGGGCTGTGGAAGCTAATGAAATCAAATAACGCGTGACATTATTGTAAAGATTTTTTAAAATTAATTATAGGTGATTGGTACACCTCAAAGACCATCAGCCCCCAATACTATTTTGGTAGGAAGTCCACATACACCCAATACACACTTTGTATCACAAAACCAGACTGCAGATTCTTCGCCTTGGTCTGCAGGGTGAGTACAATTCAGTTATTTATAAAAGCTTGACAGAAATGTTTACAATATGGACATATCTTTCTAACAACTGTATCTGTTTAATTTAGCTGTTGTATAACGTATCTAATTTTGGTAATTTGACAGCTATTTGGACTCTACTTTTTTCCTCAAGTAAGTACAGTGGTGCCCCGCATAACGAGCGATTCGTTTAACGACGGATCTGCATAGCGATGTGTTTTTTGCAATCGCAAAAGCAATCGCATTGCAATGTTTCTAATGGTAAAACATCGCTTTGTGATGATTGGTGTTTCGCTTACCGATTTTTGCATAGCGATGTTTTTTTTAACAGCTGATCGGCGGTTCCAAAATGGCCGCCGGGTAAATAAAATGGCTGCCCGCTGTGTTTTTGCCCAGATTCCTCACTTACCGGGCAGCGAAAATGGCGGCCGCATGGAGGATTTTTGCAGAACTGTGAGTTTTTTGCCCATAGGAACGCATTAAACGTGTTTTAATGCATTCCTATGGGCTTCTTTGTTCCACATAGCGATGAATCCGTATAGCGACGATTTTTGCTGCACGGATTATCATCGCTATGTGGGGCACCACTGTATTAGTATCAGAAAGAAGTTTCTTCAGCCTGGAATGGTTCATGTTATGTGTATGGTCCTGATCTGGCTGGGCAAACCACTTAGTCTTGTTTACTGAAACAACAACCAACATTCTGTTAAGAAAAATATAGAGTAACTGTCCATGGGAACAGTGCTCTATGTGAGCTAGTGTTTGTCCATTTAAAGCAAAGGGCTTCTGTGTGCACAAGGGGTAATGAATATTTGCTTTCTTAGCCTATGAAGAAGCTAGAACCTTGCTTAATTTGAACCATTGCGTGAGTGGTAGAAATGAGAGGATTCTGCCCAAAGCATTTAATACTCTTGTTATGCTTATTTTATATTATATATATGTTTCATTTTTAAATATTTCTGAACTGTTCTGTATCCAGAAGATCCATGGAACAGAAGACTCTTCATGTGTACCTAAAAACAGTATTATAAAAATAACAATCATAGCAAAATCACAGTTTTTACATTTGTACTGCCATAGATAATTTTAATGCAGTGTTTGTTTAAAAAGGATTCAGTGACACTATGGTTTGGAATATTTGTTGTCCTGTTTACATTTTAAGTTACCCAAATCACATATTTGTTAATTGCCTATATAATTAGCTCATTGTATCTGTATTTATAGGAAGCGAAATAAAAAGGGAGAGAAGAATGGCAAGGGTTTGCGGCACTTCTCTATGAAGGTTTGTGAGAAGGTTCAGAGGAAAGGAACTACCTCATATAATGAGGTAGCAGATGAATTAGTGGCAGAATTCAGTACAGCAGATGCTCACATCTCACCAAATGAATCGGTAAATATATTCATGTTCTGAATACATTAGGAGGCAGTTAAATGATTACTGATTTTGCATAGCTGTAAACATCCACCATAAAAGCTTTTCATGTATTGCAGCGCCTCAATGTGGGCTCAATATTTACTGTTTGCTTTTTCTCCTGTCTTAGGATAGACTACTGCAACTCCCCCTCCCTGCCCCCCCCAGATCTGGCCTGTTATTGCTGCAACTCCTCCCCCAACTTCATCCAGCCAGATCTCTGTCATACAGTGGACCCTCTACTTACGGAATTAATTCGTATTGGAACGGTGGCTGCAGGTTGAAAAGTCTGTAGGTCGAGGCTCGATTGACCTACAATGCATTGAAAACTGATTAATCCGTAATTGGCCATTTTTGTTCCGTTTTTGTTCCATTTTGGGTTTTTTTCCGGCCTGTAGGTCGATTCTCCGGCTGCAAGTCAAACCTAAATTTTGCGGCCAGAGAAGTCTGTAATTCCAAAAGTCTGTAAGTGGAGCCGTCTGTAAGTCGAGGGTCCACTGTACAGGCCAGGTCAGCCTGTTCCTCCAGGATCAGGTCCTGGATGGCTGATGTTTTCCGTTTGACTGACCTGGCATTTGTGCCCCCCAAATGTATCGAGATTGATATTATTTTGTTATTGTGTTGCTTGTTTGTTTGTTGTAAACCACCCAGAGTGACCCTGGCTGCCAAATGGGCAGTATATAAATTAAATAAATAAAATAAATAAGACCTATTTTGATGCCAATAAGAACATAAGAAAAACCATGCTTGGATCAGACTTAAAAACTACCTAGTTTAGCATTCTATTTGCATGCTGGCCATCAGACGCCAAGGAGTAGTCCGTAGTCAGAACGTGAGGATATTTGCACCAACCTGTTAGTGTTTCTTAGTAACTGATATTCAGAGGTACAGTGCCATAAAACTGAAGGTAATGTAGAGTTGTTATAATTAATAAGCAGTGAGTTTTATCAGTGACTGGTAGCTTATCCACCATGCAGTTGTCTAGCCTTCTTTTAAAGCTATCTGTGTTAAGCTGTGCATTGTGTGAAGGTACCTCTTTTAATTTGTCCCAAATCTCCCATGATGCAACATTATTTATAGCTTTATGTCATGTTTGCACCATCTCAGCTTTTTTTTTTGGATCTGTTTGCCCTCTTTCATGTACAGTGACACAACTGTCAGTTTGCACTTTTTTCTCCTTCTATACAGCTTGCATTTGAATATCACGTTGTCATTTCCCTTTGTTTATTTCCACAACTTCATGTTTCCATTTTGCCCATCATATTTGTGTTCTCTTTGAAAACCAAGTGTGCCAGCCAACGTTCCCTCTAATTTTTAGCCCTACTGGGCGACTCCGCTCCCCACCCCCCTGAGTTCTGTTGCAACTGGAACCAAAGGGGCTGGAAAGGATTGCTGTGGGTGCATGGAGGAGAAGCCCTGCGTGGAGGGGGTGGAGTCATGCACGCTTACACAGCCAAGCACCTTAGGGCAGTGGTCCCCAACCTTTTAAACTCCACGGACTGGTTGGGGAAGGCGGGACATGTGCATATGCGAAGGAGTGCTTGTGGAGGCGCACACTTGTGTGCATGCGCAAAGGACGGGGGGCACTCACAAAGGGGTGGGAGGTGCTTTTGCGTGTGAGCACATGCATGAAGGGGCTCTGCAGGGGGCAGGAGGGCATGCGGGGAGTGGTGGCAGATCTGACTCTGGCCCCGTCTGGCCCAGGCCATGGACCGTCTCTGGACCCCGGACAAGGGGTTGGGGACCCCTTCCTTAGAGGGAATCTTGATGCCAGCTAATCCAACTTGGCCTGGAGACTTCTGCTATTTACACATAATGTGCATTCATTGTTCCTCTCTAGATGGCTCCAACTTGTATACTTTTGTCTGGTGGCCCTTTGGTTTCTCTAGTCCACTGTCATGCTTTAATGTACTCTTGAAATCTATTTCCACTCTATCCTCTTTTAAACAGTCTGAAACAATTTCTTGTCTTACACAGAGAATTCTATCCAAATTTTGAAATTTTGTGATTTGTGTCAACTTTCCTCCAACATTTATCTTAAGAGCTGCTCTGCCACATTTTTATGTTAGTTGCCAACAGTTAGGATTCTGGTTGAAATAGAGCATGTCTGTTTTAGACAATCCTGGTTTGTCCCCAAATGTTTTCCAGTGCCGCACAACCCTAACCCCTCTTCCCTGCATCCTCATCCTGTCTGTTAATTGTGATGCTTCAGCTTCACCTATGTAGATGCCCCTGTGCATAGAACAGGTAACATTTGAGAGACCTGTTCATTGATTTCCAGATCTTCATAAATGTCATGATAGCAGTCCAGCTGTCACCATGGGAGTATTGCTATTGTTACATGTCTAAACACGTTGTCACTCAAATCTCTGCTTCTCAACTTACCCAAGTCACCTCCATTGTTCTCGATATCTGGAAGCTCATTGTTCTAAGCACACACTTCACAGTCCTTGTCCTTGTCCTTTGCAACCATTCATGCATAAAGTAGTATCAGTTATTCCAGGTCATGTTTGTAAAACAACCTGAATTGAAGTAACTGATAACACTTGTCACAGTTCTTCAGTTGTACTATTTACTCTGAAAAAAAAATGTAAAATAAAAAATGTAAAATAGTTTAATCAAGGATGTTCTGATATTTCTAATCTAATCTGTTTACAGCAGGCTTATGATCAGAAAAATATTAGACGCCGTGTCTATGATGCCTTAAATGTTCTTATGGCCATGAACATTATTTCCAAGGAGAAGAAAGAAATCAAATGGATTGGCCTACCTACTAATTCAGCTCAGGAGTGTCAAAATTTAGAGGTAAAATATGGTGAATGCTTTTCATTTGCAGTATTAGTCTCTTAATATGTATTGTAATTGAATACTATGGATGAGCAGATTCTTCGACTTGTCTAAATTTGTGGCTTCCCTTTAGATCAGCATTAGTTGGATTTCAAGTGGTAGAAATTATTCTGCTTATGTGCCAGTCTTAGGGGACGTGGTGGCGCTGTGGGCTAAACCGCAGAAGCCTGTGCTGCAGGGTCAGAAGACCAAGCAGTCGTAAGATCGAATCCACGCGACGGAGTGAGCTCCTGTCGCCTGTCCCAGCTCCTGCCAACCTAGCGGTTCGAAAGCATGCAAATGCAAGTAGATAAATAGGTACCATCTCAGTGGGAAGGTAAACAGTGTTCCGTGTCTAAATCACACTGGCCATGTGACCACGGAAAGATTGTCTTCGGACAAACGCTGGCTCTATGGCTTGAAGAGCGGGATGAGCGCCGCCCCCTAGAGTCGGACACGACTGGACAAAAATTGTCAAGGGGAACCTTTACCTTTATGTGCCAGTCTTAGGTTATATGTATTTTTTAACTTTGAAAGAATTGTGTAATTGCTCAGTTTTATAAGAGCCATATGAGTATGTTGAATGGAATGGATCTGCCAACTTTCCTGTTCCAGGAAGTTTGATTTACTTTCCATGAACTACAGGGGTGCCTCGCATTACGACATTAATTCATTCCAGCGAAATCGCTGTAGAACGAAAACATCATAATGTGAAATTTAAAAGCCCATAGAAATGCATTAAAACCCAATTAATGCGTTCCTAGGGGCTTGAAACTCACCGTCCAGCGAAGATCCTCCATAGTGCGGCCATTTTCGCTGCCTGTGCAGCGAGGAATCCATCCCAGAAAAGAGCGGGGAGCCATGTTTTTTACCCGGTGGCCATTTTGAAACTGCCAATCAGCTGGCCAAAAATCATCGCTTTGCGAGAATCGGTTCCCAAAGCAGGGAACCGATCATCGCAAAGTGAAATTCCCCCATAGGAAACGTCGTTTTGCGATTGCAAAACCTTCAACGTAAAGTGATTTCGTCATAAAACTGAGCGCTCGTAATGCGAGGCACCACTGTATTCATAGTAAACAGAACCTAGGCATACAGGGCAAGAATAACACAGAGGTAGATTCTGTCAGTCTCTCTAATGGATGGTGTCATTATAAGAAATTGTTTTTTCTTGAAAAAAGTAATTGAATAATAATTATTAAATGCCTTATAAAAAGGACTATACAATATATCATTCAGTGGCAGTCGAGCTCTGGATGTTCAAATCCTGAAGATTTTAAAAGGGCATTTTGTATGGCCAGGGAGTGAGGGAGGGAGTGCAGAGAGCATTTCTAATAGGTTGTCGGTGGATAATGCCTTTGTGGTTGTGAAGAAATAAAAACAATGGTATCAGAGATCTGTTTCAGCATGATTGATGACTCAGGTGTTTTAAAAAGTGCAACAGCTGATTCTTGTGCCATATTGCTAACTGATTTTGAAACTTCTCTTCAAAAATAGTTTGATATTTGTCATGGGTACTTCTTTGTTTTTTAAAACAAATGTAAAAATTTAGACATGCAGAAATGATTTCAATGATTTCTTTGGATCTTAATTTATATGTAGACCTTTTCATTTCATACCGGTCACCAGTGCATTATTAAAATCGATCAAAATGTACAGTAGCCAGACTCATCTGTAATGACATTCCCTTGTTTGTTAAGGTGGAAAGACAGAGAAGACTTGAAAGAATAAAGCAAAAACAGTCACAGTTACAAGAACTAATTCTTCAGGTATGGTTACATAATGCTGACCACATCGGCAAATTCATTTGTGCTATATCAGTTTCCTGATGCGTTCAGATAAGATCTCTAATGCTGAAGTATTAATTCCATCATAAGTGGAATAAGGAGGCATTGATTTTAATTCAGTTTGCAGTTTCAGTTTACTTCCTATTCAGAGTATTGAAATGCTCAAAAATAGTCAAATTTTCACTCATTCTTTTAAAAAATGTCTTTACAGCAAATTGCCTTCAAAAACCTTGTTCAGCGAAATCGTCAAGCAGAACAGCAAGCAAACAGACCACCAGCTTCTAATTCTGTCATTCACTTGCCATTTATCATTGTGAACACCAGCAAGAAGACTGTGATTGACTGCAGTATTTCTAATGACAAGTAAGTTGTTGGTAGGAAGAGAAAGATACGAAAAGAAGAGAGATTGATTTTTTAAAAAAAATATTAATGAAATGTAGAGTTCAAATTTCATTAAAGGGAGTATATGTACTCCCTTCGAAGGGCACTTTCAGGATCACCACTTTAACAAACAAGCAGCAGAAATGATGGATAGCACAAAATAAGAGTGCTTGGCATCCTCTTTTCAAGCAAGAATGACATGACACATTCAAAATAAAATGTCCAAGAGACAATTTCTGCCACAGTTGCAAGGCAAGGAGGAAGGGGCCTGGAAATTTTTAATCTGATACTTTTATTTTATATATAGAGATAGATAGATAGATAGATAGATAGATATAGATATACTGTATATAGATATAGATAGATAGATAGGATTATAGTTGGTTTTGTGTGCTGTGCATTTAGCTCATTATTAATTTATGTAGAGCTTCACAGTCTCTGACAATAAGGTCCAGTGCTGCTCTGTTCTAGGCTGTTTCCTGTAGCCTTAAAATATTCAAGAATGAGAGGATAGGCTTTTGAGGCAGTAGGTCAAGAAGTATATGTGACACTTCCTGATTTCTTCTTCCTGCAGGTTTGAGTATCTATTTAATTTTGACAATGCATTTGAAATACACGATGATATAGAAGTGTTGAAGCGTATGGGAATGGCCTTTGGGTTGGAATCTGGTAGTTGTTCAGCAGAGGACTTAAAAAGTGCAAGGAGCTTAGTTCCTAAAGCTCTCGAACCATATGTGACAGGTAAGGTTCTACAAAATACTTTTCATTTTATATTTGAAATAGCAGTTGAGAAGAAAACTGCTGTTGTGGAACCTGACAGACACAATTGCACTGTACAGTGGAAGTGCGGGAGGGTCTGAAGAAACCAGGCTGGCTGCATAAGGAGCTCTCAGATGGGCTAAGATTTAGAAAGGAACTGTATAGCAAATGGAAAGAGGGGGAAGAGTACAAATGAATAGCCAATATTTGTGGTTTGAAGGATAAGAGAAAAGCTCAACATGCACTCAAACTCAGCATGCACTCGGAGATAGGCAAGAAAGGTTAAGAATAACAAAAAGTGGGGGGAGGTGCAAGACAAGGAAGTGATAGATCTACAGTGTGGAAAGGAGAAGTGTTAGAGCGTGAGAGAAGGCAGAACAGTATCCCTCTGTTTTCTCCAAAGGAAAATTGTGCTCATCCTAGTGTGAGTAGAATGAAGAAGGCAGAGAGGAGAGTTGCTGTGCAGAATGGGTGAAGAGGTGGTACAGGAATACTTAGCTGCTTTAAATAGATTCAGGTATCCAAGGCCAGATGAACTGCATCCAGGTGTATTAACAGAATTTACAGATGTAATGCCAACGTAATCTCAAATTTGGTTGATCTGGGAAATGCTGTGAATGTATAGTGTGTCTTGATTTCATCTAGACTTTTGACAGAATCCCTCATGGTATTGTTGTGGCTGAGCAGGTGAAATGTGGACCAGATAATGTTAGTTGGATTTGTAGCTGTTAGATTTGCAGCTAGTTGATAAAAGCCATATTGGGAGAGAACTTATCATCATGGAGAGAAGGGATGGATAGGGTTCTGTTGTGAGCTCAGTGTTGTTCAACATTAAGTGACTTTAGCAAAGGTATAGAAGGAATGCTGACCAAATTGGTGTGTCACATCAAACAAGGAAGAGTTCATATTTGAGAAAACAGTCAAGATTCAAAATGACCTTAGTGAGTTGAAGAGCTGGGCCAAAGCAAATGAAATAAGTTGTAACACAAGAAACTGAAGGTCTGCATTTAGACAGAAAAACAGAAGTACAGTGTTTAGATCAGGGGACGTTAATGGTACCACTGTATCCTGCTTCAGACAGCTTAACCCAGAGTGCTGTGTACAGTTCTGAACAATGCGTTTTAAGAAAAATGCACAGCTAGAATATGTCTGGTGAGTCAACAAGAGGAAGAAAGGGTCTGGAAACCAGGATCTGTGAAGTCATTTGGGTATCTTAACCTGGAGAAGTGAAGATTAAATGTTATGATAGCCGTCTTCAAATATTTGAATGGAGAAGATGGAATGAGCTTGTTCTGTGCAGCTCCAGTGGGTGGGATGCAAGTTTCAAAATTCAAGAAAGGCGATTTTCATTAAATATTATGGAAAACTATTCAAAATTGGGGTGAGTATCTCAGAAGATGGTAGACCTCACTGAAGATTATTAAACAAAGGTTAGAAGACTGTCATGGATGTTTGACCTATGAATTTTCTACTTTTGCAGGGGGTTTGAATTGTTGACCTCTGCACTCACTTCTATCTTTGCTTTGTTGCAGGACAACAAAATGATGTAGATATTCATTTGTTTTTTGATCATTGTCAAATAGGCAACATACAACCCTATGCAAAAGCAATGTTGATAATCAAAGTATACAGCATCGGTCCTGCTCTCTCCACTTCTAACCATGGTTCTACAAAGCCAAAAATAGTAGTTGATTTGTATCTACTAACTGATAGAATAAATGTTATTCAATAAACAAAGCAGATACATTTTCAGTTTATTATTTTTCTGTAGTGGTTACCTTTTGTGAATTACAAATATTTTCATAATAAAAGAAAGCTATCATTTTTATCTGCAGTCCAACTCTTTTCCAAAATGTGTTTACTTCATTAAAATATGGTGAGGCAATAATAATGTTAGTCTGTGTCCCATTTTTCTGGGGTTATATTTCTTTTCCTATTTTACTTACTGTTTTACCCTTTAGTGATTATTCAGTGTCTTGTTATTTAAGTGAGAACCTGAATGGCTATTAAAAATGGCAGAAGTAAAACATGTATTTAACATAAGTATCCCATAACTATAGGTAAAGTATATTTTAAACATATCTATAGGCATAGATTTGTATTGGTAAAGAATGAATATTGCAGAATTCATAATGCTTTTGTTTTACAGAAATGGCTCAGGGATCAATCAGCAGTGTGTATGTCTCATCCACATCAGGTTCAGCTTCAAATGGGACAAGATTTTCAAACAGGTTAGATGAATTTGCTCTTTATGATTGAAGTCTATAGAGCCCACATAGTTTTATATATACTTAGACTGGGAAATTTAAACTTAATTGGTCAAATATTTAATCACCAGAAAGGTATTCTCACTTCATAAAATCATAGAATAATGGAGTTGGAAGGGGCCTATAAGGCCTTTGAGTTCAACCCCTTCCTCAATGCAGGAATCAAAATCAAGGTATATCTGACAGATGGTTGTCTATAATTTTCTCTTGAACGCCTCCAGCACTTGAGAACTCACCACCTCTTTAAATAATTAATTCCATTGTCATGCAGTTCTAACACTTAGGAGGTTTTTCCTGATATTCAATCAAAATAGGACTTCCTGTAACTTGATCACATTCTTATGTGTCCTGCATTCTGGGATGGTTGGGAATAGATCCTGTTCCCTCCCTGTTTGACAACATTTATATTTTGAAATAAGCTAAATCATGTTAAGGGGTCTTCACTTTTTCTTCAGTGATGAAGCATATTAAGACACATGCATGTGTAAATGCTTGCTTCAGAACTGTTGTATTTACCAGTTTATAAATATTGCCAATAGAATGATTTCATTCTATTGACAAATATATGGTACATAAAATGTAAATATATATTTTTGGGAGTAAGGTGTGTGTCAGGCAGATTCCTATTCAAGACATTTGGAGGATCTCCGATCTAGTGAGGGCTAGACATTATCAAAGGTACATGAGAGAATTAGCTTTCTGAAGTTGGTAGAAAGAGCAAAGGAAGAACAACCTACAAGAAATAAAGAAGGGCAAAATAAGAGAAATTGTTGGCCAAAAATGAGTGGTATAACTGTTTGGTTTAATAGATTTGTGATTGGGGTTATATCACATTAGGTTCCCTTCTCCATCACATGAAACGTTTATCAGAGGTGGTGAAGAGCATTTGCCTGTTTTGTATTCCAGTGACTACTCAAACGGAGGGGATGGGATGTTGGCCACAAGTTCCAATGGATCTCAGTACAGCGGCTCCAGAGTAGAGACACCAGTGTCTTATGTTGGGGATGATGATGATGATGACGATGACGACTTCAATGAAAATGATGATGATGACTGAAACTTTTTTCATGTAGACTTTTTTAAAATGTTAAAATTCAGCAGGCTTCAGGAATAAATTCTAGGAAGAGAATTGTCTATCCCATCAAGGAGATACTGGTAAGCATCTTGAATTTAGAAATTGCACCTCCAATAAAGTAACAGAATTGTTTGTTTTTTATGTAGATTTTTTTACATGTTGGTGAGGATGTGTGTGTTGATACCAGTGTGTTAATGCAGAACTTTTATTTACTCTTGCTTAGGATTTTAACTTGAAGGAAAATGCATTTTGCCCCTAAGTGTTGTTGCTGAGTTTGAAAATGTAGTCACCTCTAATGGAAAATAAAATCTGTCCACCTGTCAAAAATGCATACACGGAATGGCATTTTCTTTAGATTGCTTTAGGTGATATTTCCTACGGAAGCATAGCAAACAAGTGTTATATTTTGCTGATCATGCCGAGTCCAAAGAAACAAACAAAAGAGCCTCTTTTTAAATGTTAGTTTGCGGACATTGTGTGATTTTATTTCCCTTTCTTAAAATTTTCCTGATCATTGTAATCCCATCAAATTTATGTATTGTGTTTGCTGAATGTTAGGACTTAACGAATTTCAATTTTGGGCAAATGTTTACTGCCACGCTGGCGCAGCTGTGTAAATGTCTTGAAGGTTTGGAATGAATTTTGCTTGTGATGAAAATTTGCCTGATTTCTTACAGGCAGATTTTGAAAACAATTTGTTATATAGTTGTTTACATACCTATAAGTCTATCATATAAAAGACATGTACTGAAACAAATGTTTATATTTGTTTCTTAAACATCTTCCAATAATCTATTATAAAGCTGAAATTAAATATAGAGAATGTTTTATGTTTAACTCAAAAATTTGTCAATCACTTTTAATACTTCATTTTTTTATAAAAGAAATTTCAGGGCAGGTAGTAGTCTTTTTAAATTTATTCACAAAGAATTAACTGCACAAATACTGTCAGCTGCCTGTTCTAAGACAGTAGTCTTTTTATTGAAACACAAATAAACTTTTCTGTAATATTTTATGGAATATAAGCAGTTTGTTCTACTTGTTTCATTGTGGCACTATTAGTTTTTATTAATAAAATGCGCGTGGGCATTTTTAACTACAGTAGCTGTTTGTTTCTCTAATCAAGATTATTTTTTCTTCTACATTGTTATGTATTGACTTGTTGTGGTTCTTCATTTTGGAAACATCTCAATCCTCTTCAAATAGGGGGTCCATTATTTATATACAAATGGGGAGAAACAGCTAAAACTCAGGTACTAATGCTTCCCTTCTTCAGGAAGGCAAGGTCAGTTCTACTTCCTCTCTGAGAGGAGGTGGCCCCTCCTGTCATGCCACTGCAAGGAGAGTAGGATCTTCTGGCTGTTCTGCATTTTCCCCGGGTCACTGTTTTGTCTTTGTCAATTTTTAATACTGGCTTTAATGTTACTAATTTGCCTTTCTCCTTTTTTCCCCTCCCTTCCTCTCTCCTTCCTGTCTCTACCTTTAAATGAAGTAAGGCTAGGGAGAGGGGGAGAAGGAAATAGCCGCCTAGAGTGGACGAGTAGTCCAGATGGGTGGGGTATAAATAAATTAAATAAATAAATAAATAAATAAATTATTTTCTTATTTTATGCTGGAGCATGACTTTCCAGCCAATCCAGGACCTGGTACATCCCTGTAGTCCTATCAGTCAGAGCAACAACCAAGCAAGAGACTGCTATGTTCTGGCTCCAGCTTCTCAGCAGCTAGCACACCATGGCTTGGCACTCTTTGCTCCTCCCCAAAGGTGTCCCCAAAGGCATGTCCTCTCAGCAGCAGCCAAGCAGAACCTGGCACCACAATCTTTGCTGTTCTTGCGCCTTTGCTCCCTATGCCAGAGCAAGGAGGAGCTTCTGAATGGCAAGCTGGCACCGCCTAGCCCCTGGTCTGGCAACCCACTGCCTGCCACTGCTGAGAAGCAGCACATTCATCAAGGGACAGATTGGGCTTTCCCTGCTAGCCTCTGGAGGAAAGGAACCAATCTTGTGACTTTAGTGCCTTCTTAGAACTCCCCCGTTTGCCCAAACATGAATTGAAGGGAGCAGGAAAAGTACTGGTACACTAAAAGCCATCTAGCAAAGCAAGCTCTTGCATGACCTTGGCCAGCTTGTTACAGTCAAAGGCAAAAAACACCAGTATGCCCAGCTGTACTTCTCAGACTCCTGTAGCATTTCCTAGCCTCATCCTTACCAGTCCCATATCCCGTTTAGGACAAGAAGTGTAAGTAGCAGCATTAATAGAAGAATCAAGAGGGAAAGTGAGACTAACCGTCCCCTTGACACCTATTGTAGATTGTTCAAACAAAATATTTTCTGAATCATATTAAGCAAAGCTGTTAAAACCTTGAAATCTCGTACACCTGCAGTAATGGCTACTGAAGACCCGTCCTGTATAATGAAAAAGAGACCTTCTGAGCAGTGACTCCATGAAGCTAGGGGTCCTGTTCCTCGGGTTTTTCTCTCAGAAAAAGGCAAACTTGTCCTCGGCCAAAGACAAGGTTGCTGTTCGTTCCTTCTGCAGTCATACACAAATTGAGTGTGTCCACAGGGACAGCCCTCATCTCTGAGACTGTCCATGAGGGAAACAAACTCAGTAGCTTTGTTGGCTGAGGGATCAGGGATCATCTTTCCTTTGAGTGCATACATGGAAGCTTTTGTTTTTCCCTCCAAATGTGCTTTTGGAGATACTCAGAGTTAGAGAAGGAGCCTTCTGACCCTTGTCCCCACAAGGTGCTACATATAAGGGCCCTCCAGGTGGACATAGTTCTTTATAATAACTTTTTTTTCTGAGTAGCAGTTTAGGTCTACTGCTGGAACCACGTTCTGTGACTGAAGGTTTCTCCCTCACAGAAGTCTGAGATAAACTTTCCAGTACAGAGCACAGTATTCCTTTAAAAACAAAATCAATTTTTTAAAAAAAACCCTCCAAAATCCAATTTGTTTTCATCAGCAACTTAAGTGCTTCATTTTTAAATATTTGTTGAAAATTAGGTGTAGGAATATATGCCTAATTCAAGAAATGTATTTATGGTGTTCCTATGGATACAACATTTTCACACCAGGTAAGATAGTTCTTCTTCATTAGCTTGCTTGCTTTCAGGCCGGCATATACGCCTGCATTTCTGTTCTCAGATTTCTAGAAATCCTTATGCACAGGCAGAAATTGAGTATCCTATATAACAGGTGGGGGGTGTCACCTGTTCTTTCTCTCCCACTACCTTGAGTGATCCACATCACTTTGTATTCTCGAAGTGAGAAGTTCCTACTCCAGTCCTTTGAAGATGCCAGCCACAGAGACTGGCAAAACGTCAGGAAGAACAACCTTCAGAACACAGCCTAAGAGCCCCGAAAAACCCACAACAACCATCAGATGACTTTGTTTTTGAAGTTCATCTTGGACATTTGTAAGGAATTACAGCGATGCATAAAATTGGCCTCCACTGCATGAAGCCAGGGGTGTTTTTATCAGTGCCATTTATTTAACACATTTCTCTACAACTTGAGGCAGGTCACAGAAAGTAATCGCCATTTAAAAGCACAAACATATCAATGTAATAAATGTAATGTAATAAAGCATTAATCAACCAGTCGTTTTTTAAACTGCTTTAAAATTACAAATATCAGCTACCAAAAACCCTTACAGTCTTTTGATAAGTTAGGTAGGTATAACCCTTGTAACACAGATGTAATAGACTAGTATTCGCAAAGGCTTTCATGACCGGGGTCTAATGGTTGTTGTGGGTTTTTCGGGCTCTTTGGCCGTGTTCTGAAGGTTGTTCTTCCTACCGTTTCACCAGTCTCTGTGGCCGGACAGAGTGCTGTCCTCTGAAGATGCCGGCCACAGAGACTGGCGAAACGTTAGGAAGAACAACCTTCAGAACATGGCCAAAGGGCTCGAAAAACCCACAACAACCGTAAGAGACTAGCTTGAGTGCTTACACATACATAGGGAAATGCAGACACATGTAAATGTACATCTAGCTCAAACCATACATACAGATTGTGAGCTTGTCTAGGGCCACACTGATTATTATGAAGATGAGCATTGCTTCCCTTTAGCCTATATAATTAGTTACTAGAATTTTCCCTTTTTCAAGTTTGTGGTAATTGATGTATATTTTGCTTACATTGTAGTATTTTACTTTAAAAAATGGTTGCATATTGCAGTTATCCTGAAAGAAAATCCAGGTGCCTAAATACTTTTCTTGACCGATGCAGCTATATCAGCTGTTCCTTAAAATGTGCAGAATACCAATCACTTTCTCATTAAGTGCCTCCTGAATTTTCGTCTTAAACAGACTCACCCCTTTGAAGTGATGCTAGTGTATAAACCGTCTTATGGTTCAAAGAGCCAGTGCACAACTTATGCAAGGCTAATGACTTTAGATGTTTGTTTTAAAGAGCAGCGTCTCTCCACTGTGCCCTGCTCCACTGCAGGCCAGACTTTTATTCAGATGCAACTAGCGGCATATGTGGAGGAAGGATCCTGTTCAGACCATTAAAATTCAGTAGCTTTTTCCTCCCTGCCGCAATATATTCTGTGGACAGTACCACAAATATAACTACTGCTTTTTAACATTGCATGATATACTATGATTTCATTTTATATAACATCAGTGTAGCATTATTCAATAAACCTAGCATATTTGGCGTTCTAGAGTGGGTGCTTGCAAACATAGTACTTTTTCTAGTAAAGCACTATTCTAAAATAGATGTGGAAAATAATTTGGGAGGGCTTTATTATTGCCCCCCTCAGCGTACGGACATTCTGCATTAAACTGAATTGGAATTCAAACAGAAACCGTGTGAATATATACAAATGTATATGATACATAAATACTGCATTATGTAGTGTTTTAATGATTTCTGTGCTGTTGCCACTTAATTTTTTATCAGAACTTTGAATTCCACCTTTCCTTCATATGGATCATGAGGATTATCCGAAGTTATTCCAGTGCCAATGATTCGGCATACAATGGCCACTTCTTCTTCTTTGGTAATGTTGAGAAGCTTCACAGCCACCAGTGGATTGGTATAGGTTGGCTAAGATGGAAATAAACATGGAAAATGTTAATTGTGTGATTACTTAAAAGGAACGGGTTGTTTATAGGGATGACAGCCCCCATGCTGTGACCCCTGGATGTAAGAGGATGGATTTTTCACTACTCCTGTAGTATTGAAATATGGCAGTTTGGCCACATCAAAAGAAGGCAGCACGTTTGCTCTAAACAAAGTTGTTAGGATGGCTCTTTCTTACTTTTGCATCCAGAAGATTGAAAAGAAGATACACAACCATTATGCACCATATTTTTACATAACAATATTCTCATTCTGCTGCTGCACCCCTGGTGGTGTGGCAAATCTGGTGAGGGAAAGGCTGTGGAGGGCTGCTATGTGGCCCAATCCCAATTTATAATATTTGATTTAACCTTTAATATGTAGGGCTGAATTGCCAAAGAACCATACCTGTGCTTTGCATCCATAGTAAGGGAAGTAGTGAAGTTTAAATGTTCCACTTTCAGGATAATACTTCACATCTGGTGAACTTTCACTATGCTATGGAAGGATAGGCAGGAAACCTATGTTAGAGCTAATATATGAGGCAACATCTCATCTTAAGGTCATTGTCTTGCAACATATGAAGGTGCCAATTCATTGAAACAGGCATGGAATTCTATGTCACAATGAACTAGGACAGTAGCACCTGTAGACAATACACATTCCAGATATACTAATATCTGCAAAATGTAGGAGGCTAACTATTTAGTTTTGTTTCTTTTTCACCTTTTGAACAGGTACGTTTGAGATAGTCAATGTTTGACAGCAGTCAGCGTGCAATCCAGAATACACATCGGTTGAAGTCCACAGACTTATTTCACGGAGGGATGAGGCGCTTGCAGAGATGACTCTGGGGCTCCTTGCTCCAAATTGTCCCATCAGGAATCTCACTGATGGGCAGGCAGGAAAGGGCAACAGACATTTTGGTTATGCACATTTATTTGTATGTAATAGGATGTTGGGTGCTAGCCCTACAATTCTATGCCAACCTAAGTCTTTGACATCTGGTGGGACTTCTGAGCGAGTATATGTTCTGGACAGCACACCGCCTGGGTAGAATAATATGAGCACAAAAACAGCGAACAGTGCATGCTTACCAGTGTCGTGCAGTTTACTCTTGGTTCCGTGCCATTGCCAGGGAGAAAATTGATAATCTGTAAGGTAGTCATTTCCATGTTACTTTAAGGCAGCGGGTGGCCCTATATAAAATATCTAGTTGTGCAGACCACAAGTGGGTACAGAAATTAAGTGCCTGCATTTGATGGGAAAAATTCCACTTGTGCACCATGCATCATCCTGCAACTTTGTGTGACACATTCCCATAAACTAATACTTCTGTTTTTAGTCTCTTATTACTCTTTCTTTGTCAAATAACTTATTCCCAGTTATTTTTCACAGCATTTTGGAGTGTTCTGTTAGGTGGGGTTATAATTTGTTAAAACATATGTGGGTTTTTCCTTTCTGTTGAGACTTGCCTAAAATGACCTAAAGAAGTTTTTATGGTATTCACAGAATGCTGAATGTGGATAATATAGGTTCTAAATAGCTTTACCTCAACAAAGTTTCCTCTTAATAGTTAAAATTCAGTTATACTGACTGATAAAGAATATGTTTAAATGTCTCTTTAGCTACTTACTCTGTTCATTTTTATTATTAAACATGGGTGACCATCTGGAAAGCCAAAAGTGGGATCCGTTAGACCAGAGCATTCCCCAAGCATGTCCTGTGTGAATTTGCAGGAATATTTTGTGTGGTCTGGACCATCGAATGTCTTCTGAATGTAATACGATTCTTGAGTACAGTTCTTGTTGGCTTCTTGTGCTGTTTCATTATAGGCTACAGATATGGACAGAAAAAGTAGGGGGGTCATCTTTAATTTTTTCCCCTCCTAATGGAAGGCCTAGGGTATATAAGAATAACAAATCAAAGATCTGGTCGTCGTCATTCATGTTTTGGCCAGGATCCAGTTCTGTTTCACCCAGCAGAACAGAGAGGGAAGGGGAAGAGTAGCAATTGTCTGCTATAGCAACCCAGGATTTTAGGCTTTTGTTTTCTAGAATTTGATTCATTTAAAACACATCATCGTGTAAAGGACTGTTTGGTAATGTCCACTGTCATAGAAGACAGAAGCCTATTAAGGGCATGTACCTCAGTACTGCTTACTGTCTTACCTGTAGATATTGCTTCTGTTGTTTCTGACCACTGACCATCCTGTCTAGGAATGTCCAGAGTTGTAGACAACATCTGGAGGGAGGCTGTTCTGTATAGCTTGGATTCTAACTAGGTGGGGGGTTGTCTTCTGTAGCTTTTCCTCAACCCTTCCTGGACTGCATTTGAAATTTCACAAGACCTTCCTTGGTGAAGTTAGATTGGTCTCCCCACAGAGACCCTTCTCACCAGCAATGTCCATTTTCAGCTGTCTGTCTAAAAGCCACCCATCTTGCTGGAACTTTATTCTGTTTCCACCAGGGGAAACCATTTTTAAACCTGATCAGTGCAGCCAGATTGGAACTAATGTTGAAACTTCATCTGCATTGTACAACATAATGCAAAGTTGAAAGATTCTGAAACTCAGAAACAGATTATCTCCAATTCAGCTTTTGACGATACCACTTGCAATGCTTCCTTTTGTTGCCATCTCTCTTTTTTTTGGTTAGGAAATACTTGCATTCTGTTTTTAAAACATGACTGTCTCTAAATAATAGGTTTCTCCTGTTACTTGTTTAGCAGGATGCCTTGTCCCCACTATAAGAATCATACCCCCCCCAATATACTTGATGATTTATAGTCCCTAGTAGTTGCCCTTCTGCAGTTAAAACTAAACTCATGGTAGCCTGGATGTATCCATCCATGCATCATCATCCAAATTACAGTTTTTCCTCTGCATCTTCCCAACCATCTTACTATTGTTTCTGCCCTTTACCTGAAAGAAAGCTTTGAAGAATCTTAACATAACCATTCCATGACTTCGGTTCAGACATATTGTAAATGATTTCCAGTCCTTTTTCACCATACACATCTGGTCGCAATGTCACCCCTTCGTTGAAAGAGCCATTAAGAGTACAGAGGCAAAGAAGAGAAGAAACAATTCATATATAAGTAGTTTTTCTCAGTCCAATTAATTATATGGGATCAATCCTAGGTTCCTAATCCTAGTGACTAATGCAGTTTTTTTGTTTAAATTGCTACAAATCTGCTTTCCAGGAGTAGTTGTACTTCCACTACATCAGTCTGGTGGATAGCTTATTTCTGATAATCCATGGGCCGAGAACTGAAATTTTGTAAATAATTCTAATTTTTCAAAAGGCATCTTTTCATTTCAGGTTTTAAACATCAGGAAAAAAGTCTGGTAAATTATTTCTGGTTTACACCTCTTTTTCACACCAATTGTGATATCAGTCTTTCATTTTTATTCTGTTCTTTCCTATCATTTAAATGTCCATCTGATTTTGTCTTTCTATATAAAAACTCATTTATGTAAAAGTCAAGGCTACATTGGAATCTCATGCATTGTTACTTAGAATATGTCCCTGTGGTTTTAATCAGGTTAGTCTATAGTAAGTTTGTCTGTGTTTTGACCTTGGAATGATGTCCTTTACATGTTTACAGAGAGGTGCTGTACACTGAGGTCAATGGGACTTGGAATTTAAGTCTGTGTAAAACTGCAGCACTAGTAAACTATCCAATTAAAAGGTCATAATGCTAAGATAAAATGGGTCAATGAATACATCTCAGTTTTCATACTGTGACTTCTCTTATGGTATTTTTTCAGAAAAAAGCAAAAGCAAAGCAAAGCGTGCTGCTTATATACCGCCCCATAGTGCTTCAAGCACTCTCTGGGCAGTTTACAAGTTAATTATGCAGGCTACACATTGCCTCCCCCCCCCAAGCGAGCTGGGTACTCATTTTACTGGCCTTGGAAGGATACAAGGCTGAGTCAACCCTGAGCCAGCTACCTGGGATTGAACCCCAGGTCGTGAGCACAGTTTTGTCTGCAGTACAGCAATTTAACCACAGCACCACGAGGCTCTTTATATAAGGTTTTATATGCTATATGATCTGATCTCAGTTTTATCCCTGTAAAACTAAGCATTAAAGTCAGCATGAGGCTGATAATGTTATTTATACAGCAGCAAGAAGAGTGTGTTTAACTTAATTATAAATTTCATTGGATTGTATGGCACAAATGTGATCGTACCTGGTGATTTTAATTGATCTTGATAGTCCGGTGTATAAGGATTGATTGTCCTCATTAAAGAATATATAGCAAGTGAAAACACTCCAGTCATCACAATATAGAATGCAACATAGTAAAGACTGATCCATACTGTAAAGAAAACATATTAGTAGTGATTCCAAAACTCAGGATTTAAAAACAATTTAGTGCAACAGTCAGGTACGTGTCAACAATAGGTTGACGAACAAATAGTCCAAATTGCATTAGCACATTTAAAATGTACCAGCAGAGGAACAACCTGTCCTAGTTAAGCACTCTTGTACTTGAAACAAATGAGGAGCTGAGAAGATAAAGCAGAGTTAATTTCTGAATTAGAGAAAAGCTTAAAATGTGCAGTCTCAGGAATAAAAGAACAAGGCCTGTTACCAGTGGTACTGAAATCTAAAGGGGAGTTCAGTAATTTAAGTAATTTTAAATGAAATTAAAGTGTATATATTTATGTACAGTATACATGTATACTGGCCATATTTCTGTTGCTTCATGTAGTAAATTGCTGTAGAGTAGGTCTGAATCTGGGGATTTAATGAGTCAACTCCATAGTAAATTGCTGTAGAGTAGGTCTGCTGAATCTGGGGATTTAATGAGTCAACTCCTCCATAAATAAGTTGCATTAATTCAAACAGGCCTACTCTGTAACTTGCTGTGTTAAAGTAAGTCACAATTAAGAGCAGGCCTATTTGAATCAATGGAAATCATAAAGGAGATGACTCACCAAATTCTACTGATTTGAATGTAGTACAGTTTATTATACTAAGCAATAAGATTTTGACCAGTAACTCTAGAATAACATAATAGCCAATAAGTGTATTAAAACTATAAATAAACATTATTAACATATTGTTCTTCATGAACTATACTTGAGCGACTAAAATATTCGCAGGTAATTCCTCTTTTGTAGACAAAGAATGGATCCAACAATCTGCTTTAAGTTTGTACCAATCATTGACACCAACCTGAAGAATTTTCTTCCTTTTTTCTAATTGCCTACCTCTGTCTAATAGTGCACAATATGATATTCAGGAGCATTTCAAACACAGAGATTTGCTATTCTCCATTTAAAGGGAGGCTGCTGTGAATTCATGGTTCTAGTTTTGAGGTTCTTTAGGTCTGGATCCAAAGGGGGGGTATTGGCACCATGTTTTTTTGCAATGTTTTCTGTCACAAGCTAGCCTTTCACTAGTTCTATATTTTCTTTGCAATTTATTCAGCCAATGTTTGATTGTACATTATTGTAAAATATTTTTTATTGACTGAATTCTGTAGCAGTATATGTACAGCAGCTTTTAATGAGTAATTTAGAGCTTCTTCAAGATCGTACTGCGAAACATCTTGAATACCTGACTTCATGCTGCTGCTAAACCTCTTGTCATCCCAGATTTTTAATTCTACAGAAATAAATAAATCTTAGAACTGCAGACCTGGCAGGGATCCTATGGATCATTCATTGAGTGGGAAATCAAACTTCTAATCCCTGACTCTGCAGCCAGATGCTCAAACCATTGAGCTATCCAGCAGTTTTACATACTCTTAGAGCTGCAGACCTGGAAGGGACCCTATGGATCCTCAGGTCCACATCCCCTCCATCAAGGAAGCACAGTGGGGAATTGAACTCTCAACCTCTAGCTCTGCAGCTAGATACTTAAACCACTGAGCTGTCCAGCAGTTGTACTGGAAAACAAGGACATTCCAAAGGCATGACAATTCCAAAATTGCATCATTTTTTTATGACCACCTACCCCAATTAATCAAGGTTCTTCCCATTAACTGTCCTGTGTCTGGGTTCCATAAGAAACGCTGGAAATTTTCCATTCGTTGGCTACAGGTCTTCTTTTCATTCAGAGTTGCCATTTTCTTTCCACCTGGAAATTAGGAACTCTTTCTGAAAACAGATCTTCAGCTGGTGTCCAAAGAGCTTACCAGGAATGCTTTTTGGTTTTATACCCTTTTCCTCTGAAGGTCATGCAGATTATATCCATCATCATCAAGAGCTGATAAGGGTGCGTATTTGCTTGCAGTAATGATTGTGTGTGTGTGAGTTTAAATAAGTGGTGATAAGAAAACATTCAGTTGAGTACAGAAAACGAATTGCTATCAAATGTCCTTTTTCTCACCCCTCCTAGGTGTTGCGTATGTTGCGCAAAACGTATAACATATTCAGCACAATAAGCATTATCAAAGTAGATAAAATCTGACAACATCCTTGGATAACTCATGAACATTCTTGTTATTCCATTTTATAGATTTTTTTCTCAATGGGCATGCATAACTAATGTACCTGAAGGAGTTTCAATAGTTATTCAGTTCCACAATTTTTTAGAGAAGATAAGTTACTGTTTGATCTTCAAGTAAAAATTAGGGACCTATTAATGTTGGTTTTCCAGTAGTAATTTACAAGCAATTGATATGGCCAGAAATATGATGAGAGGTTCTAGGACACCAGGAAATTCAGAAAGGTATTTGTAGGATTCCTTGTCCCCCCCCCAGCATTTATTAATGCTATTCATTTTTAAAATCTTTATTGAAAGAACATTGAAATAACAAAAATAGTACAGGTCTTTCACTAGAAATGTATCATCTGATACAGTACCTTCACACCATTGCAATCTGCATCAGATTCGAATATCGTACCAAAGATGATTTATATGGGAGGCTGGGGGAAAATAAATCTTGTCATTCTGACCTTAATACTATTCATAAACTCACTTCCATGGGAGCAAACTTAAATTCAGTTAAACTAAACAAATAGATAGCACTGTATCATAGTAAAAGTTTAATTCCCTTACTTTGCAAGCAAGTGGATAGGAAATGAGTAATACACATGTTCTGGTAGAGATAAAAAATCTGCTTTTTAAATGAGAGCTGAACAGTCAAAAAGTGGGACTGACCTATCCCAGAAAGGCCAGTGCTCGGACTGGCATTGGTCATAACTATAGCTGCACATCATCCTATCCTCATGTATTAGGAGATGAACATCCTTTAAGGAGAGCTCTGGCGTTCCCTCTTGTAATACTGGGGGTAAGGCTTTCTACTGACTGCCTAACAAACATAAGGCAGGCTGTGCCCTCTCCCAGACATGGCTACGTGTGCCGCCGGCGATTATATGGGGCAAGAGGTTGGCAGAGCCCTATCTGAGGAACTAAAATGAAGACGCAAGGGTCTTTACTGGTGGAGGTAACAGATGATGGAAAAAGCAGCTTGGAATGAGCAAAAGAGAAGCATGGTGGCTGAAAAATCACTACCATTGTGTTTTGGGGGCTGGAGTTGAAAACTCTTCAGGGTTCTGTTTGCAGCAGTGGCAAGGTAGCCCTATGAGGCCACAAAGGTTAGTCTTAGTGGGGCCATAGGTAGTTTCCTTCCCCCTCATCCCATTTCAAGTTATGTTGTGAAGCAGAATGCACAGATTTCAGGGGGCGAAATAAAAAATGAAAATATTTGTAAAAAATTGTAAAGGAAAGAGAGGGTTGTAATGGTTTAGCTGCCTGCCCAACACATGGACAAATGTGCAGTTAGGCACCTTGAATTATTTATTTATTTTATTTAAAATATTTTTACCCCACCTTTCTCCTTGAAAAGGACCTAAGGCTGCTTTCAACAATGAAAAGCAACATTTAAAGTTGAAAACAATGAGTATACAACAGTGGTTAACATCATTAAAAGATAATATTTAAAACTACGAACAATGAATAAAAAGGAATTAATAGGCAATATTAAGGCAAAGATCAATAATAACACAATATTTTTTTAAATCTACTCTGAGAAATGGAAAACGCAAAAATGGAAAACACAAGTAAATCCAGTCAAAGCACTAATGCATAGCAATCTGTCTAAGAATCACACAGAGATAACTGGTTCGTGAGGGAAATCTTGCCTGAAGAGAAAAGTCTTTGCCCACTTGCAGAAGGATAGCAAAGATGGGGCCAGTCTGGCATCCTGTGGGAGGGAGTTCCAAAGTCTGAGAGCAACAACAGATAAGGCTTTCTCCTGTGTCCCCATCAGACGCATCTGTGGAGGTGGTGGGACCAAGAGAAAGGCCTCTTTTTTCTTTTTTTTCTTTTTTCATTTTTTTATTTTAAACCAAAAACAATTACAACACCAAAAATAGAAAAGTACAAAAATACAAACAATAGTGCTAATTGAGACTACATTCTAACGTGCACCCCATACCACGGGACCCCATTGAACAATTTTTATTGCAAATTTCCAAAATTGTATAGATTGTTGCTTAGAGGCTTTCCCCTTTCATTAATACAAATTCAACAAATTCAAGGCCTCTCATGATCTTAACCCCCGAGGTGGCTCATAATGGGAGATACAGTGTTTGAGATAGCTCGGACTGAGGCCATTTACGGCTTTATTATAGGAAAACCAGTGCTTTGAATTGTCCCAGTAGCTGATCAGTAGCCAGTGGGGCTGCTCTTTAGTATCTTATGTGTGCCATTTCTCTGGTGTAGAAAGTGCTTAACTTCTGTGCCCATTCTTCTTGTTCAAGCAATGACAGGAGGTTATTAATCCATAAGATTTCCACTAGCAGTGACAGTGACTTAAAAAAAATCTCAAAAGTGGAATTATCTGGAGAAATCACACAGTCGACATCTAAAAGTCTGGTGGCAGACTTTGGGATTTCTTTTATGTGTATCCTGAGCCTGTGGGTGATGAGGCTACACAGCCATTGTATATCTGTGCCATAAGGTCTGGATTTCCTATGGTAGAATTTAGGATGGAAATGTCATTAGGGCTCTTATATAGATTTGCTGGCAAATATTTGCCTTGATACTAGTTTGGTGTCCTTGTGTATTAAATATCCCACAGGACCTTGAAATACATTTATTCCATTTGGCTGTACCTCTTCAGAAACTGACCCTGATATAAAGACCCTTACTTATATACTTACTTGCAGAGGGGACTCAAGGCGGCCCTTACTCTACATCAGGGGTCTCAAACACGCGGGCCATTTGCGGCCTGCCAGACGATAGTTTGTGGCCCCCACCTTGCCTCCCCTCTGAAGCGCTCATGTGTCCTCTGTTCTCAGCCCGCTCGCCGGCTCTCTCCCAAGACAGCGCCTCTTGCCCCCTCCATCTGGAACTGCAGCCTGCCAGCCAGGCCGTCTGTCTGCCGGCTGGCAGGCTACAGTTCCGGATGGAGGGTGCAAGAGGTGCTGTCTTGGGGGAGCGCCAGCAAGCGAGGTGTGCTGCCGGCCCTTTTACCCGAGCCACCACCAAGCGATGCCTGAGAGCAGCGCTTGCTCCTGGCCCGTCCTCGAAGAGCGCCTCCAAGCCGCCAACAGTAGTTGCTGCCGCCACCATCACCTCTTCTAGGGAAGTGGCTCTCTTTCTCTCCTGGCACCACCAGCCTGGCCAGTGACCACCTCAGCGCCCGGCGGTGCTCCCTCCTTGTCCTGTTCATCCTGCTTCAGACGCCTCGGCTCTGGAGGCTGCCTGGGCTCACCTGGTAAAGTTTGCTCCCCTGTCATGGTGGGGGTCCTGGTGCTGCTGAGCGCCTTTTTTTGAGGGGGGCCTCAGAGGAAGGTTGCCAGACCTCCGTGTGTGTGTGTGTGCACGTGCGCGCATGCATGCGCACCTGTGGGGGCCCCACCCCATTCTGTTTAATTTCACAGGTACATGTTGGGGGGTTTTCTCCTTTAGCAAGGCGAATTCTGTGAGGGTTTTTTTTAAATTTTATATCGTGCCTTTCTCCCACCTGGCTAGGCGGTTGCCGGAGCTCCCTCCCTTCTCCCTCCTGCTGCTGCTGCTGGTGGTAGTGGTAGTGGTAGTGAAGAAGGAGCCGGAGGGCGTTGTGGCCAGCGATGAGGGCTCGCGCGCCCCTCCTTGGAGCCCCGGCCGGGCTAAGGAAACTCCTGGGCGGCTTCCTCAGGCTCTTGCTCTGCTTGGCGGGAAATCTGATGTGACCCAGCCTCACCCAGACTCTGCCTCCAGCGGCCCCCAGCTAAATTGAGTTTGAGACCCCTACTCTACATGGTCTTGTTAATTCAGTACTGTACTGTGTAGCCCATATCCTTACTTCAGCTGTTCATTGCCTGTACAGCAAATTCTTTTTTTCTGTTGCTTCTTGTACACACTTTGTCATGGTTCCTATGAGGTGTTTTGCACGCAGCAGTTCTTCAGTGTACTTTGTAAATTATTTGAGCATACTGTTTACTTTTCATCTCTCATGCTTGCCCCTGAGCTTGCTGGTGACATGAAGGACAGCCAAATCTGAATGTGAAGGTCATATTGTAGGAATTCAAAGAGAAATGAAGACGTAGGAAGATAACCAGCTCCAAATATGCAGGGGCTGAGGGGACACATAACTTTTTCAATCCGGTCTTGACACCCAGTATCAATTTCGGGGTCTGGGAGCCACATAACCACAAATCACACACGTGTACAGTATTTGCTTTATTGTGCCAGGAATTGTGACTTTTAAACCTGCATCTGAGGAAACCATTAAAAACAGTGGTGGGGAGGTTTAAGGGAGGAGCTGTGCCAGTGGTAGGTGGAACTAGCCCCAAGCAGTTCTTTGACCACCATCCTCTTCTTCAATTGCAGTAGCAATGCAATTATGGGAGTACAGTTCTTTCATATATACTTGAATTTGAGAACAGGATCACATTGGCTCAACAGGTGTCCTGTGACAGCATTCTTTTCTCTCCTCTTTGCAGACTCTTAAGTTAGGAATTCAAGCAGGCACCAGTGAGAACAGTCATGGTATCAGGTAGCATGGCCCAGTATGAGAGTGCTCCTGCACACCTTTGACTTGCCAGAATGAAGGGGGCAGAGCATGGCAGTAGTGGGGCATAGGGAAACAATGAAAAAATATGGCTGCACTAGTGTCGGAGACAGCTGTAGAAA